CTGAAACCAGGGCCCTGTGCCCTGGTACTGGGTGTCTGTCAGCGTGTCTGAGCAGAACCGCAGCCCCAGTTTTACCTGTCAAGCCTCTGCCTCACCACCTGTGAGACTGAGAATGCATAAAGGTGTGTTAGAGAGTTCTGTCTGCAGCCTTTATGTAGATTTTGGGAGCTATTTATACTGCTTGTTTATATTATTCTTTTCCCACTTCCTCTGTTATGGCAAACAGAAATCACTTGTAGGGAGCCATGAGGGTAAAAGGATCTCACCAGAGGAAGCTCCAGCATTTTCCTGTGGCTTGTTTTTCACACTGATGTCAAAGGAAACCTCTGAAGATTGCTGAGCAATGTGCCCTCCTCACTGTCCATGTTCCCAACAGACCAGTCATCACCTCGCCTACTCCGAAACATCTGCTTCTTCCACCTCTCTGCTAATGATACAAATGATAATTTTTCAATCTTCCAGCAATTATCTTAGCCTTTTTTTCTCATGTTACCATTTCAGTGCAGCAGGAGCTCCCTGGGAACAACTACCATGCCACTAAATCTGTCCTCATGACACTTTCCTGTCTGCAGATGGTGTGAGATTGACTTGGCTTTCCAAAGTGAGAATTTAATCCTTGGTAAATTGTTTTGATTGCATCTCTGAAGTACATCCATTATTCTGTAACTAAGGATAGAGTGTAGATTTATATATTGCCTGATTTTATGGCCTAAATTCACAACTGGACATTAACAAAATATTGTAATAATACTTGCTTTCACACTGGTCAAATAACTCCTTCAAAGTGCACTGGTATCAAGAGAAAGCTTCTCATGAGCAGCATATGAGGTGAGTAGATTCTTGATCAGAGTCACGGTCTAAATTAGTATGAATTTTTATGCATATGAATTTAGGTTGACTGAGTTTGTACATTACACTTCTGCCCCTATAAAACAAAGGGACAGATCTTTTTTTTCACAAAAAGTGGTGATAGTCTCCAAAACCTCGTGGAGTGTGAAACTGGAACCTGAAATCAGATGTTTAGAAATTCCTAAGTCAGATAGAAAGTTTTGCAGCCTCTGTTTGCATTGCATTTTGAAAAGGGCATGATTAATTCAGTCCAGGACTACAATGAAGGTTAGTAATGTCGTAGCTGGAATACATGAATTATTCCAAACCTCCTGAACTCTATTATTCAGGAATATCTCCAACTAGTAGATGCAAACAAGCTAACAGGCTTGCTTTCCCCTCTCTCTTACCAGGAGTGGTATGCCAGTATAATGCATGAATACCAGTGTAGCACAAGGTAAAAACAGGCTCAGCTGCAGCTCTTTATTTAGATTTGCCAGGCAGCAAGGTGACAGATTTAATTCTCTCACCAACAGTGAGGCTTATAGAATGAATGCAAGGAAAACCAACTGAAATATACATAAGACCAAGCCACTGTTTAAATGCTGTTTCTGTGTTGTTTTCCAATTCAGAAAGTTAGGAGTCCTTTAAAGGGATTTAGGTCTTTATGTAAGAAATGGGGAGAGCAGAGGAAGCCTCTGTCAAAACATGCAGCTGATGTAGGTCATTAGTACCTATGGACATGTAAATGTCAACAGGTTATCAAGTTGCATATCTAAATTCTGCCTGAGGGTAATATGTTAGCAACAGAATTATACTAGTCCAAAGTAAATCTATCTATATATAAGTATTTTTTTGACACTGTGCATGCTTTTCTAAAACAAACACTGTACAAAGCCAATTTTGCTTTGTACACAGAAGTCTTCCATTGTAGCACAAAGACAGAAGACAGCCTGAGAGCCCCCTTTGAGCATTGCTGTCTTTACCTGAGATTTGCAGAGCTGCCTGTAATAGCACTTTACAAACAAGTTCTTATGACAAGAGCTTTTAGAATTCACATAGGGATGTTCATCCAGAACTCCAAAACACTTTGTCATCATGAGTTGTACTCTTTTACAAGGCAGGAACTAATGGAAATAAAGTTCAACCTACACCTATAGTTGAACAGTAAGTTAATAACTGAACTTGGAAAATGCCCTATTTCCCTATTTAGGGCTGTTTCACAAGCTCCCTGTGAAGAAAAGGAAATTTTTGTCTTCCTGCACTGAGCAAACTTTTTGTCTTTTCATAGCTACAAAGTACACTTAGGGGAAAGCTGGCAAAAATACTAACACTGAAGTAGTCACTATCTAGTGCTCTCAAATAAATACTATTCCTGTACAGTAAATTACCACATTTACAAGTTATATACTTTGTCAGCACTTTTTCTTAGCATGCATAGACCAGATTTCCACTACATCATTCAGAGGTTAGCAGGGAACAAAATTAAACCCTCAGTGTTTTCACCACCGTACAACCTGCAAAGTCATTTTTCAATGCACTTAACAGGTTATATTGGAAAAGTCTAATAAATGGTGAGTGTTGCCTTTAACTTTCCCTTAGCAGAACTCATTGTTCATCTAATTTTTGCAACAGATTTCCTACCTCGTTTAAAACTTCAGCTAGAAGTGCTTTCCTGTTACATATTGCAAACAGACATATACAGTGACTCAGAAGCTTGGATCGAGTTGTGTAGTCAATATAGTTTTTGGCAAAAGAGTGGGAAGCCTTTTTGTGGCTGAAAGCTAAGAATGATAAAAATAGATCCTGATTTTACAGTCACAGTGACAAACTGGCTTCCAAAAGCTTCACAACAGCACAAAGGGAACAAACTGGCAAAAGGGAAGTGAGCTGGAAAGATATATATTTTTCCCCAACAAGACTCAAATTCACCATCTTTTGTGGTTTACAATGATTTTATATCATCACACATGGCATGTGCTGCACAATGACAACCCAGAAGTCAGCTTAGCTTGCAAGCAGCCATTCTCTTCCAAAGATTTTCTGTGAGCTCAACACATTTAATTCACAATCACTTACAGAGCTTATACAACCCTATAAAATAACCAAGTCTCCTGAATCATCTCTTACCTACAAAATATAATTTTATTCCATTTCATATGATTTCATTATCTTATTTTTGTCACTTGATCTCATTTTTCTTGGGGTTCTAAAGGATTTAACAACGAATGATAAGAATGAGATTATCAGCACAAAAATAGACAATAATTAAATGTCAGTCATGTCTGTGACAGAACAAATGCAATTCTGTATCTCACTACTTTTGGTGCTGGCTAGTGCAATACTCATTAAATATTTTTACCGTTAATGCTGATAGTTTTGCAGTTATTTCAAACAGATGAAATACATTTTGCTTACCTACCCTTCATTCTTCCTCCTCTGCAAATAAGTTTTTTCCAGTGAAAGATTAGCATGGTTGGTACCAGGAATTTCAAATGGGATTGTTTATGCATCAAAGAGTAAGTACTAATAATAAAAATGCACTCACAGTATGATTGCTTTGTGATGATTAGAATATAAATTGTTGGTTCTATTATGTGCCTCACCGTGGTATGTCTCTTGCATTCCTCTAACATCTGATAGTCAGATGCCACATCACACACAAACTTGTCAACTGCTTTTATCACTAAAAACTTTGTCCGTGGTGTTGCAGGAACTGAGAACCCAGCACATTCAGAATCCACCTGCAAACACACCACCCAGAGAAATATTCTGCACACATAGGGGTGAGGGGGAAGGAGGCAGCCTCTGCCCCAGGATCAAGCAAGCAAAGGCATTAACTTCACGCAAAAAGTAGTTTTCTTGTTGTTGATGATGAAAGGTACATGCTAAGCAATAAATTAAGTGAGTGCAGTCAGTGGTGGACAGAAATTCCTTTCTGCAGGCTCCGCTTCACCACGTATGAGTTATGGGATCATCTCTAACTTGTGAAAATAACTCACATATCACACTCTCCCCATTCCTACGCTTCTTGCTACTCCTGCCTGTGGAGCTGGTGCGAAAGCACTGGAGCTGGACAAGGATGGAGGAGTCTGAGGCTCCATTTAGTGAAAGAGTCCTATGGCAACTCTATCAGGCTCGTGAAGTGTCAGATGGTGAAGGGCTGGACTCTGCCTCTCCAACTGCACTCTGTCATTCCTGCCCTCCAGCCAAGGGCAAGATGCTCTTGAGCACAACAGCACATGGTCTTATGGGCCAAGGAGGGGCTGAAACCACACCTGTGCTGTGGCCCTTGTCCAAACCCCCACCGACCTTTGGAGGAAAAGAGACTTTCCCAGGAATACAGTGAGCAAAACAGATAAACAAGCAGCTGACCGTGAAAGCTGTGGGAATAAATAACACAGTGTTAAGCACAGGCTAGGCTAAGTATGTGAACCTTCAGTCAAAGTTCTGACCTCAGCTTTTGCAGACATACCCAGGCTCGCTTTATTTGCCTGGTTTGCAGGCTGGAAGAAAAGCAGCTGCTGCAGCACAGAGCCCAGAGCAGGTTGCAAATACCCCATGAGTGGGCAGCCCTCTGCTGCTGTGCCTGGGTCAGACCTGCTCTCCAGACAAAATAAACCTACCTGTTCCATTCCAAATTAAACAGCTGAAAAGGAGCAGCAAGGAGCTACACTGGAAAGAAAACTGTCCCTCTGGATTTGGTGATGTGGGCAAGTGCCCTGTGTGTCCCCACGATGGCTGGGCTGGCTTTGATCACTTCCACTGCTATTCAGCAGCTCCAGCAGCCACTGTATAATGTCCCTCTCACTCCTTTAATAGGAATGGGCTCCTTTATCCACAAGGCAGAATCATGCTTATTATCATGTTAATTAATACATTTCTAATGAGAAGCCGTTTCTCCAGTTTATACAGAGCCAAAGTGAAAATTGAAATGGTTTTGCTAATTTAGAAAGAAATTATTTAAAAAATAAGCAAGGAAAAAACTTCAAAGAGACAAACAAAAGGAAAAATACCGGCGCTAATGAACTGTTGGTTAATTATCCTTTTGTTCACGCTTTTATATCTTTCCCCCATTCTTAATTGTCTCATCTAATTAGATTATAACTACTTACAACAGGAATAATATTCTACTCTGTATTGCATATGGGGTCTTCATAATATAATGCAAACATAATCTAGTAATAGTAATTAATGAAGAGCTTTCCTTTGTAGTGTGAGTTTTTTGCAAGCCAGGGAGCCTAGAATAGGTGTAGCGTTGATGTGTAACTGGTTTCTGGGCTTGGCTTTATCAATGATAAAGGAAAATAACCTGAGATTTTGCAGACTGGATTATATTTAATCATCCTGTGCCTGGCCAGCTTCTCAAAGCTCTGGATCAATATTCTCAAACCTAAGATCATCACCTGAATGAAATTATCCTCTGTAGGTTGGTGCTCTTTGGTATTTGTTGAAGGGAATATGTTGCATTAGGCAGAAATAGGTGTCACCTTTAGGACACCTCTGTTCCTCTCTTTTCTGAGGCTGTCCAAGAAAAGTTTGGTCTGCCTGGTCTTGACATCATCAATACCTGTTCAGGGTCCAAGAGAACAATGAAGCTATGGCATTTGTGGTGGTGCTGAAATGCAATGCAATTTATGGAGTCCTCTGCACTGTTTCAGCTTCTTCTAGGAAGGTCAGCAGTACCTCCCCAGTGCTCAGAATCCTTCCTCTGGGAATCTCTGTGTCACATAGTATCCTTGTCAAGCAACTGCATCAATTATTCTTTTTCATATTAGTATGACGGGGGTCCTTCAGGAGAGGCTGAGGGCTCACTGAGATTGTGGCTCCACACACTCAAGAGTCAGAGGCTTTCAAGAGCTAACAGAAGACAGATAACAACATTTCCGTTCTGCCACCTGTTAATTCTTTTTAACAGATGGAGAACTGGAGAATGGAGGGATTAAAAGCCCTGGTAAAGGAAACCATATTTTTTCAAGACGGTGCTTGAACACATGCTTCTGCCAGCACAGGCTTCTATCCCAGTGAAGCTGAGCATGTGCTTATAAAGTTTTCTGACCCTGGATCCAAGTTACTCTTTCAGAGTCATAAAAGGAGTGGAACAAGCTGGCCCCAAAATCCCCAATTCACATGGTAGCCTTGGTCATATCTTCACAGAGTCTGATAACCCCTTTGGTCCTCCAGGTGGAGGCTGCAGCCAAATCTTTGTGCCAGTTATTTAGAGAGAAATTCAGGTTTGGAAGTTTCAGGAAATTCAGGTTTAGAGTTGCTTCAGGTTTGGGTACAAGTTCCAGCTGCAAAATCAAGTAAAGATAAAAAAATTAGTAGGAGGAACTAAAGGCTTTACATTTCAAATATCCTAAAGTTTAACCTGCTTTAAATAAGAAAACAGTGGCATTTACTTGTGTTTAGAATGTTATCCAGAAGAGAATCAGATCCATCAACAGCTACATTACAGTGCAAACTTTTGTGGTACTTCTACACATTTTAGCATTTCATACCTTATTTATTTACAATGAAACTGATAAGACTTTCAGGGTTGGATATTAAATCTGTGTGATTTCTCAATATATCATTGGCTTAGGAGGCAAAATATTGCTTGTGAAGCTGAGAAAGGCAGTCTTGAAATAAATCCTTGACCAAGATTGCCTCAATTGTGTTGTGCCTCAGTATTCCTGAGCATCCCTTCTCACATTCATGTGTTCAGCAAAATCATCCTCTCTTCTTCCCATGAATTGATTGTGTTGCTTACTTCAAGTTACTTTTAATAGCACAAAGGTAGTGCCTTACAATCCCCTTCTTACCTATCCCAAATTAACCCCCTGCAGAATGGCCCCTACTCCAGCTCTCCCAGAGATCTGGAAGCTCATAACAGCTGCATGCCAAATCAGTCAGGAAATTTTGGATAGTTCCCATAAAATCTTGTCCTGCAAGCTCTTGTAGTATGACAAACAACTAATGCACACATTTCAGGTACTATGAAAATAATCCAAAATCCCTCCTATGCAGCTACAAAGAGATTTTAAACTGAGATAGGGAATGCCATAGCTTGTAGCTGGGTCCTTCCAGTGTGCTGTCTTGTTCTCTGCTATTCACACATGCAGAGGTGAGACCTCCACACCTCCTTGATGGTTTATTTCTCTTTCTCTGGTGCAGATGGTGCCTGGAGAAAAGGGTGTTTGCCACACCGTCCCTCACAAAAGCAATGTTGCATTTGTAGGGGACTTACTGCTGTAAGTTTAGCAGGAAATGACTTTCACCTTTATTTCCATAAACTCTCACAATATCTTGGTAAAAAATTAAAAAGTTGAAAAATTAAGAGCACTAAAGAAATTTTTAAATGAACCTTCGCCTAAGCACTGGAAAAATGAAACAGATGATGTGAAAGGTAAAGTGTCAAACAGCACAGTAAGGGAAAAACACTTCAGTTACTGAACAAATGCTCTTTAAGTCCTTATTCCATTAAAAGCTGTATCTGCTTTCATAAAGGATGTTTTGCTATCACATGCAAATTCCTCATTTTTCAAGGAAAGCTTTATATAACCTGCCTATTTGGCCTTTGTTAGTCATGCTACAAAGACTTAGAAGCTTTGAAGATTGTCTTAACTAAATAGAGCCACAAGAACAACAATGCACTTTCTTCCAGTCACTGATCAGGCTTCTAAAGAGTAACTAATAATGTGAATTTTAGAGTGCAAAAGGCAACATGAAAATATTTAATAGTAGAACTAACAGCGGAGCATACCTTCTGCAGAAACCTGTCTGCTTTACTTTCCTTTTATCAATATTGCCAAGAAAGTAAATTTGTCACTGTACTGTTGAGAATCTCTCAAAGATCTACTTTAACGTTTCACGCTACGTTTGCAAAACAAGAGTAATAAAAATAATGACACCATTATTACTCTTCCCTCTTTGTTTTCAGTTCATCACTTGCATATTTGAATAATGAATTATATTCACATTATCTCTACACTTTTGCTCTTGACTTCCTCTGCTGGCTGAAAGTAAAGCTATTATCCAGTTGTCAGCTCTGAAGAGCCATTCAACAAAGCAGCCAATGGGTCTGACATGTAGATATACTACTATGCAAAATTATCCAGAGTACAATTTCAAGCTATATATGAGAAAATTACCAGCCAGCATAAAAATGACTCTTCAGCTAAGGTGAAATATTAAAAATTTCATCAGAGCCACTTTAGAACATAAATAAGTAGACAACAGAATTAGTTGTGAATTAGGCACAAAAGGCTAATTAACACTATTGTATCATCTTGATTGTCTCAAAGTCTATTAAATCACTATTTTATTGTCTGAATCTCTGAACCTTACAGGAAAAATAGAACCTTCTTCTATTAAGAGGCCCCTCTTCATTTTCAGATCTGCAGCTTTTGACTGAATTTCATTAAGACTCATTCCAGTAACCAATACTTTGCACAAGTAATTTCCTGATAAAGGAATGATTGTTTGTATCATTCGATTTATACAGCTTTTTTATTAAGTGCCATGTTAAATTATGAACAAATCATATGAAACAAAACCCACACAATTTTCCCTTAGTGTCACATCCCTTCATGTAGTTATAAATATAACTGGAGCTCCAGATGAAGTCAGATTTTAATGATGCAGTGGAGGGGCAAACACAGACTAGCAGGAAACATTCTCAAGGGCAAAGACTTTCATCTCTTCATGATCAAGTGATTTTGTCAGGAAAGAATAACTGAGGTTGGGAAGGTGAGGAGGTGCCCTCTACCAGACAGAAAGTGATGTCCCCAGGATGACATTAAACAAACAGATACAAGAGCAGACACAAAATCAGAGCAAGATGCTGTGCTTGCTTTGAAGAATTGTCTAAGAGAAGAGAAGCTGCTGCCTCTGTGGTCAACTTTTATTCTTCTGAATCAGCTGCCTCAATCCCTTTTCTACCCATTAGACCTGCACCTGTTGGCAGCGCTGCATTGGAAATGATCTTCAGACTTCCCTTCAGACAAAGGGAAGAGACAAAACCCCAACTCATCTTCATTGCCATACAAGATGAAAACAACTGGTTGTCTATAGAGAGTGTAAAATATGTCCCACGGATCTCCTTCGGGGGTGTCTTGAAGCACATCAACTTATATTAAAATTTAGAGAGGGCTGCAATGATTTGAAATGTGTTTTCATGGGTTACAGCTTCTGAAAATTTACATCTAGAAGAATTTTACTCTTTACTAACCCTGTTTCATCTCATCGTATCACTACTTAGTGTAACTTAAAACTTAAAGCAAGCAGAAGAAATGATTTACCTAAGAACATGGAATGACAGTAGCCATCCCTGGATATCCAGCAGCCTGGCAATAGTAACAGTGCCTCTTTTTGGTCTGTGGACATCAGCAAGCATCCTCCTGGACAGAGGAACATCTTCTACATATCAATTGTATGGTGCAGGCAAAGGGAGTTGGACGCGTTCATGAATGTGCCAAGAAATGTCGACACATGCACAATAACCCCGACATGCCTGGCTTACTGCACACTGGGAATCCATCTCATAATGCATGCATGCATATTTCTGCCTGGGAAATCATGGATAGCAGCATGGCAACCCTACACAGAAAGTCCGCTTTGAAAGCCTTGCTCTCCAGCCAATGTTTAATTCATTAGGTCAGCCTTCCTTAATCAGTGATCAGAACTGTTTAGCTCATGATGCAATTAGGAGAAAGTCTAAGACACTCCTTCCTCAAAAAACAAACGTGCTAATTCACACATTTTACAAAGAAGGAAACAAGATGGAGGGTAATTGAGTAACATTCAAAGTTTATCTTTATTATTATTGTTTGTAAATGAAAATCAATCTGGCAACACAATTTTCATTGTGGACTTTTTTTTTTAGCTATAATATGGGACCAAGTGAACAATAGAAGTTGAATAAAAATTAGATTATCCTGATTCCTACTCTGCTGATTTGATATGAAGCATAGCACTGTCCACTGGTAGAAACTGCAGGCTCTGCTGTTAGCTAAAGTCTTCTCCCTCTACCTCAGTGTGCTCTTCCATCTACTTATCCTGTCCTGAAATCTCTGCTGTACAAAAGGTTAGACTACAAACACCCTGCCCCACGCTACATGACCACTCAGCATGGCTTGCTTGTCCCTCCAGCAGCATCTTTGTCCTTTTAAAGAGTCTGAATGTGCTGATGTGGGTACACAGATGGGTAAGAATCCTCAGAGCAAGCACTTCTGCTGATTTAGAAACAGTAGTCAAAGTTGGTTGGGATTGCCCCTATCTAACTTCTGCACTGAACTGACCCATCCAGATAGCTCATACAGGGTGAAACCTTGAACACCTTAAGCAAAAAGCACCCAGGAAACATCTTTTTCTGAACAGATGAGACAGTGAGATGGTAAACTCAGCTGTGGTCACTTACAGCACAGACTTCTCAAGTTATATGAGAAAATCCCACACCTAGAACCTACTTGTTACTACTTAGATATATGCTTAGATGTCCTTGGCACTGTGATAGAGGAACTCTAGTACTGATTCTCTGCTATCAAGGCTGTGAAAAAAAAGAGCTAAGAGCAGCCAGGGGATGTAGTACTGTAAGAAGAAGCTACCTGAGATTTGGAGCCTGTCTGGGAGCTAAAAGGCTTATTTCCAAGTCTGCCTCACCACGGTCTTCACACAAGTATCCTTGGCCATGTCACTTAACTCCTTCTTCTTGGTTCCCAGCCTGCAACGTGAAAGCATTCAACCATTTCACATGGATGTTACCAGAAAAAATGTCGGGAAATGTGAAGAGCCCTGATGATATAATAATGAGAATCAGACAAATGCCAGTGATGTGGGAAAGAAAGAAGTTCACAGGACATCAGAGCTATGCAGTCACATCTGAAATTAGAATCTGGACATTTTAAGTTTCAAAGAAAGCCCTTTGGGTCATTAACTACAATACCATCTTACTTTGTAAACATTTTTCCTTATATAAATATTAAAATGTATTCCCACCATAAGTGTTTCTTATATTGAGGAGTATTTGTTCTCCTCATGGCTAAGAGGTTTTGCTGTGTAATATTTAATTAAATAAAACAGAAGATTTCATGATTAAAAAAGAAACAAGACACAACTAATAAAAAAATCTCAGACATACAGGAACAAGGTAGGAACATATTTTCATTTAGACATATGTGACAAGAGTTAAATTCAGCTTGTTTGACAGAAATAGAGGCAATGTGCCTATAAATTTAAAATGGAAAAACAATTTTGGTCTTTGGAAGTCCAGAAATATTGAACATGCACTTGACTACCTGGGAACATGAAATACGAACTTAGTGTCCCACTGTTCTCCCTTTCTAGTTAATTTCATTGCTGATGAGATTGTCTGAGCCAGTTTTATCCAGAACACATGCAGCCAGAAAGATGCATTTTAGTATAAAAATCACAACATAGGTAACAGAGTTCTGGTAGCTCCAACCTTTCAAAAGAATCTCTTCAGCCAAATCAACAGTACAAAGTCATTAGTCTGAATTTTTCTCTAGATATTGGCAGGTGGCAAAGTTCTTTATTAAACTTCTGTACCAACAAGTGAATCCTTCTCCGAAGATACAGTATTTTTAATTTAGTGCTACAAGAAAAATCATGGGTTTCATATTGAACAAGCAAATACTTTCATATTATTTTTCTTGTTTGACTGTTTTTTTCAGTCAATAAATCCAACCCCAAAGCAAATAAACAAAATCTCTATGTTTTCCAGAAAATGCAAACAGTGATACTCAGACTGGCTAGGATAAAGCTGGTAGTTATTGACACTTGCATTTCCCTAAATAATCCCCTTTCTTGCCTTTTGTGACAAGTAAAATTGAGAGGCACGGGAAGTGGTAAGTGATGGAATTTCCACAAAACACCAGCCCACACCCCAGGTTTATTATTGCTGCATCTATTTCTATCATCACTGTAGTATGTGGTGGTCCTTGTGTTGCTCTCCTGCAGGTTTCTCCAATAGCCAGACATATAAAAATGTAAATGGGTATCAATATATTGGAGTAGTGCATCACCAGCAATCACATGCATTGCTGGCTAAATCATATCACATATTCCCAGAATGTTAAATACTCACTCCACACCTACCACATTACCTACTTATCTAGCACTCCATCTGCCAAAAAATAGGCAGCACTTAAAGCAAGGACTTTTATATACTTAATATATGTATATATATATATATATTTATATTATATTTATACATACTTTATATACTTTTAGATACTTTAATGACTTCATAAACGTTACATTGCCTACAAAACAATGCACACACACGTGGGCACCCATTTTAGCAAGTCTAAGTTCAGGTCCCTTGTTTCCAGACCCAGAAGGTTTTAGCTCTTGTTAACAATCCCCTACAGAAATATCTTCATCAGCTTTCTAAGCTAAAAGACATATGGTACCTACTCATGATCAAGGATGGTGACAGAAAGTCCCATTTCTATGCAGGAAAAGCATGACCTACACCTGGCAAAGCAGACTCAAGTACTGAACCTCAACATAGAAAATTTGTAAATAACCTTGCTTTACTCTGATTCAGGTTCTTCCAGTGCAGCTGGCATTTGCAGTTTCAGGAATATTTAATTATATAGAAAGCCTTAAGGGGCAATAACAAGCTGGTTTCTGAGCTAATGGGAGAGAAAAGAATATGAGATTACAATCTAAAAATTAAATGGAGGGTCATTCTTTTTAATGACTAATAACTCTCAAAGAATTTAAGTTTCAATTAAATTCTGACTCCAAAGGTATTTATGTAGTCATGAAACTATTTTTAAATATTTCACATTCAGAGTGCTCCAGATTCCTCAGTGGTTCTGGATAATATCAGACATCATTTTGATATCTGAGCAACTTTGCAGAAGCTCTGCTTTTGCTTTTAACTTCTTGTTCAAAATAGTTTTTTGGGTTTTTTCCTATTGATGACTTTGGAGTTTTTAATGATTTCTTAGAAAATTATGACTGTTGAACAAAGAGTGCAAATTTTTGGTCAAACAGGCTGCTTACAATTTTAACTAATGAATGAAAAGTGGAAGTTTGGTGACTAGAGGACTCAGATGCAAGGCAGGCAGCTAATAGGGAATCAGGAAATTATTGTCTGTCCTGGAACAAGTATAAAAAAGGGGCTTTTTGCCCTTGCATATCTAAAACGTTCTTTTCATATGTTTGTGGCAAAAGGAAATAGGAAATGCATCCTTTTTCAGAAAGTGAAGCACAGCACAGCACAATTTAGCCACTGGGATAGGTCTAAGAATGCATAAATGTAAAACAAGTCTAGGAAAATATTTGACAACATGCAGCCACATGATGCTCAGACATCAAACCAAACCCTTTCTCACACATTAAGCACAGAGCTTTAACATCTTGCATTAATTGATATAAACACCTTAGAGGTTCCCAGGTTACAAAGCCTTGTGATTTTCTTGGGAAAAAATCAAAACTGAACACCTTCAATTATTCCAGCTGATTCTGGAATAAATGAGGGTAATGTCTCACCCCCCTTCTGCCTGGAGCACTGGGGTTCTCCATGTAAGCAGAGGTCTCACCAGTCTGAGAGAAGTGACTTGCCCAGCTCAAGGCCTGAGTTTCTGTTCCAGCAACTACCCCAAATGGACTGAACTTCCCACTCTACTGGTGCAGATCACCTCCAGATTACCTTGGATTCCTTCTATTGTTGGAATATTAAGTGACTAGGTCACTTTACATTATGTTTTCCTCTTAAAGACTAAACCACAGAATATTTGCAACAAGGTCTTCCAGTCCAGACTGTGCTCAAGCAACAGTGTCATTTTTTGTCTGCTGGCTGATGGACTCAACACATCGTGGGATTACAGGATTCTCTCCTCAGGACAAGAAGAAATCTCTTCCTTGCTGAATAACCCAAAAATTAAGTTGGGGGAACCCTAATGTTGGAAAGATCTTGCTGACTAAAGATGGCTTTTAAAGTTATCTTGTAACCTGGGTTGGCATCCCTGGACTGGCAGCAAACAGCACATGGGCTGAAGCTCTCATTTCTCACAGCCCTGATGTGCTGCTCTGTCATTCAGGACAACTTTATGATGAAGGTATTGCTGCTGCAGCCATTAGAGCCTTGACTTAGAAATATGGGGAAATATTGATAAGAGGTCAGAAAAAACCTGTTTCTCCTCATTTTGGTTTGCTGCTTTGTTTTCAGGATGAATTTTTCATTTTAAGAATCTGAATTTTAATGTCAGATTTTTGGGGGGTGGGGGGTGAAAACCAAATAATTAATGCACTTTCCCATTTTCATGAAAGCACAATTTCTTATCCAATCTCAGGAAAATTATAGTAAGAATAAACTCCACAACTATAGAAAAATCAATTTAAATCAAGCAATAACTTGTTCTAGTCCCACTAGAACTAGTCCCAAGCATAATGACATTTTTTTGTTTGACTCCTATAAAAATCTGGACTAGATGTCTTTGCTGTGTAGTCAGTATTTCAGACCTTCCCCAGCATGTTAAAGACAGAAGGCAGCATATATTCACTGCTTGAAAAAATTCTTAAAATTTTTCTTAAAAAATTCTCTGTAATTATTTAAGAATCTGTAGTTCAGGATTTGTGCTTCCCTAACAAAATTATAAAGGGAAAAGATGCACAGGAAATTAAAAATAACTTACTCCTCTTTCATTGAGCTGTATTGGGCTAGATACCATAAATTTTTATAACAAAGGCTTTCTAGATCTGGTGAGCAAGAAGGAATAAATGACATTTTAATAATTGCATTTTATGTTTATATATTTATAAAATTTATATAATTTGTCCATTTTACCAAATGGGAATTGGAGATCAGTCTGAGGTGCTACTTAATAAAGGATGAAGCTAGGTGTTAAAATTTCAGCTAGAGGAAAAAAGCAGTTTGATGCCCTGTGGAATACCTGGAGAAAAATGTGGCTCTAAGGTAAGCACCCTTGAGAGTTGAGTGCTTGGTCCTTTGGAGAGTCAAGGGACACACAGCACAGTCAGTGGTTGTCTTAAATGTAAAATATTCACTCCAGCCTGTTGCAAAGAGCTTCGTCCCCTTGGCCTCAAGCTGAGATTTCTCCTGAACACAGACGTGCGCCCACTGTGCCAGAAACTGAGAGGGGATTGCAACCCCCAGGTCGCTGAAGCCCTTCACCTCACCAGCCTTTAGTGTGTTGTTTTGACTCCTTCCTCAAGAAAAGAGAGTCTCAGGTTCTTTTTTTTTTGCTGTCAGAGATTGCTTTATTGAAATGGGCCACTGTCCTGGACACCACTCTCCAGCATGTCGGGGCTGCAGGCACCAGCTTGGGAAAAAGTGCCCGGAGCAGCTGGGGGCTGATGGGGAGAGGCAGAGCTCAGGAAAGGGCTCTCAGGTTTACAACTGGGTTTCCTCCAGATTACTAAGCGCCACAGTAAGGATCTTGAGCTGTCAACCCCCATGAAGAAAGCCAAAGCAGTCCTCAGTGATGATCTCACAGGCACTCAGAGAGTCCATAGCAAAGTTTCCAACTACATGCGAGCACCTCAGCTCTGCTCTCACAGTTCCCTACTGTCTCCTCTTACCGGGGACATGCTGCTAATGGAACATCACAATCCAGATTTGGGTCTTGAAATTCGAGATAGGACATCCAGAACCCATGGACTTGAAAATATTTATAAGGGTACAAGGTGAGCAGAAGGACTGTGGCTCTGTTCAATAGATTAAGCAAC